CGGCCTCCGCCCCGCGCTCCCGGCAACAGCCGCTCCGCGCGCGCCGGCTGGGAGGGGCGGGTCGCATCTCCGGCTGGGGGAGGGGAACCGCGGGGCGCCCGAGCCTCCCCCGGCCTCGCCTTCCCCAAGTGGGCCGGCCTTTCAGTCCTGTAAGGCCGGGGATCCAAGCGGAGGACGCAGGGGAAGGGGTATGCTGCAGACGGACAGCGGGCACAGAAGCCGAGAAACGGGAACTCCGAGGGGAGGCGGGTGTGGAGTATCTTGTCATGAATCTAGGGAGCAGAACCCACCCTGGGGACCCCAGCTCTCTCTGCAGTGACAGGGAAGGGTCCCCGGTAGAGAAAAGGCAGAGGGTGGAGAGCAGGGCACCCACGTTCAGTGACCCTAGGAGGTCTGACTCGAGTCTTCCCAACGAGGTTCCCCAAGAAGGGGTGGGGTCGCGGAGGAGGGGTGGGGCTGGCAACCCTCTCACCACACCCACTGTGTGCGGTGGACGCGGTCTCGCCGTGCGCTCCCGGCCCAGCCCCTGTGACTCAGAGGCACGAGACGCCCCTCATTAGTAACCCCGGGACGGAGGGCCACAGGCGGGGACACCCATTGCGCGCTCAAGCCGCCGCCCGCGCGCTCCTCCATTTCCTCGCCGCCGGGACACCCCGTACCTCCACCCCCAAGCGCCCAGCTCTCACCCGGTTCCGGCTGACGCGATGGCTCCGCTGCGTCTGCAGCCCAGCGGAGGTGGGAAAAGCAAAGCAGGAGGAGGAAATGCGCGCCCGAGCCAGCAGCGCGCACCGCCTTCCTCCGCCGCCGACCCCGCCCTTGCCCCGGCTCGGCCCCGCCCCCGCCTCGCCCCGGCCCCGCTCCCGCCCGGCGTCCCCAGCCCGCGGCCGAGGGGCAGGACAGAGACGCGCCGCGGCGTCCTCAAAGCGCGCTCGCTTCTGCAGACTTTTGTAGCCACCCGGACAAACCCGCAGAGGTTTACAGATTAGGAAACGGAGGCTCAGAGAGAGTGTCCCGTCCTACACCACTGACTTGGAGTGAAAGGGTTGGGTCCACCTCTTAGACAGGTGGACTGGCAGCTGAGAATGGGTTTTGAAGCGTGTTGGGGTTTCCCGTCCTAAATACCTAGAACCGACTCTTTCTGGAAGGATCTCTGGAGCTCAAGACACACAGTGATGGGAAGTTTTTAACGGTTACTCCTCAAATCCAAATATCATGAGCCGGTGAAATCCTTAGAAATGGATTAGACCAGTACCGCGATTTTACGGATGAAAAAATAGACAAGATAAACCCAAATCCCTCAGTTCAGCAAGAATCCAAGTCAGAGCAAAAACCCATGATTTGTGGCCTTAAATCCAACCCATGGGGCAGGGTTTCTCAGTAGCAGCCCTATTGACATTTTAGGCAGGATAATTGTTTCTGAGCTGTCCTATGCATTGTAGGATGTTTAGCAGAATCCCTGGCCTCCACCTACTAGATGCCAGTAACAACCGCCAGCCCCCAATTGTGACAACCAAAAATGTCCCCAAACATTGCAACATGTCCCCTGGAGGACACAATCATTCCCTGTTGAGAACCACTGCCATAGAACATACTAGTAAAGACCATGAGCTGGGGTCTGACGTTCCTGGGCTCTGGCCCCAGGTCAGACTCTTACAGTGTAACCTTGGCCTAGTTTCCTCTCTCATCCATGGCTTCATCCCTGAAAAGGCCCAAGCGTTAATCTGCTACTGCATAGTTCTCAAGCACTTTCCCACCCGGGGCCCTGTGTTGACCTACCTCTCCTCTATGCCCTGTCTCCATAGCAACCTCGAGAAAAACTCTTCAGGTAATGAGAAAAGCAGGGTTGTAGTGACTGGCGCGATAAAGAACTTAGCAACTGTTGGAAACATAGTAGAGGCCCAAAATAAGCTTGGGGATGATAATGATGATGATGATGATAATAAACCGAGGGATCCTACTGTAACTCCTCCACAACAGCACACAAGGGGAGCTATTGGTGGAGATAGGAGAACATGTTCCAGCAGTGTCCCTAAATTCTTAAGCTTCAGGCAGTCTGGTCTGGCTTCATGCTCTTTGTTCAGCTGCAGTATGATGGGTTTCCCACCGAGGAAAATGTTTGTTTGGGGTGTTTTGTTTTTTGGTTTTTGTCCTTAGAATAAAGCTGGGCAACTATCATTTCCCAGGTGGATATTGTTTTGCAAAGCTGAATTGGGGCCTCCACTGGGATTTTTGGTTAAGAGTGCCATCTAGGGGCACTTCTGTGAATCTTCTCATTCCTCCCACCCCTGGCGTTTTTGTAGGGCCCACTAGATTTTGCTTTTCCTTGTGTGCCAGCTGCCTTCTCCATCACATTGTGTGTTACCTATGGCCGGGATCCTGGCATCTCTCCATAGTGTCAGGATTTGGCTGTCGATGAACATAGGATGGATCGATAAAACAAATCTACATGCAGCCTCTGCTATGCCTTTCCACAGTTACTCACTGCAGTGGACTGAATGTGTCCTCCAAAATTTGTATTTTGAAATTCTTATCCCCAATGTATCAGAAGATAGTGCCTTTGGGAGGTGATCAGGTCATGAAGGTGGAACCCTCATAAATGGGATTAGTGCCCTTATAGAAGAGACCCCAAAGAGCTCTCTTGCCCTTTTTCTGCCATCTGAGGATATAATGAGAAGTCACCAGTCTGTAACCTGAAAGAGGACCCTTACTGGAATCTGAGCATGCTGGCACCCTGATCTCAGACTCCCAGACTCCAGAACTGTGAGAAATAAAGGTCTGTTGTTTATAACCTACCCATTCTATGCTACTTTGTTATAGCAGCCCAAACTAAGTCACTTGTTCTGGTTAAGCAGCTATTTCAGGCCTCAGAAAGGATCTGCCAGGAACACCAGGCCCTGAATAAGAAATGTGTGAAAATTGCCCAGCAAATATATTGAGACCCTAAACTGTTAATCCTGCAGAGACAGGGACAACCTGGAACCTAGCTGACCTCTCCTCCCATGTTGCCAGATTTAGCAAATAAAAACACAGGAGATTCAGTTAAATTTGAATTTCAAGTAAACAATGTATAACTTTTATTAAAATATTTAATTTACACATATTCATTGTACATATTTATGGGGTACAGAGTTATATTTGAACATATGTATATATTGTGTAATGATGGAGTCAGGGTAATTAGCATAGGGAGAAATTAGTTAATGGATAGAAAATCACAGCTAGATAGGAAAAATAAGTTCTAGTGGTTTACAGTAACGCTAGGCATCTATAATTAACAATAATTTATTGTGTGTTCTCAAATGTCTAGAAGAGAGGAGCTCAAATGAATCACAAAGAAGTAAATTTTTGCAGTAATGAACAGATAACTTTTTAGCGCAAGTACATCCCAAATATTGAACAGGACATACTTATACTAAAAAAATTCTTTTACCGGAAAAGTTGTCTACCCAAAATTCAAATTTAACTAGGCATCCCATTGTCTGGCAACCCTATGTACTTGGAGTTGAGAGGTTTGAGAAGCTTGAGGCCCTCATCCTCTCTTGGGAATTATCAAACAGTGTGTTAAGTCAGACAACAAACAATTCTGGTGCAGGTGAAGTGGCCTGGGAGCACAGTGATTTCATTCTCTTTGGTAGGTATTTTGTCTATTTTTCATCTTTCTCAGACTACATGTAAGTTTTTGGTTAAAGCCATGGAACAGATTCCATAAGCAGGTTCAAGTTCCAACTTGGCCACTGCCCTAGCTGAGTGACTACGGGTAGGTTAGTCAGTTCAGTGTCTCTGTTTCCTCACCTGTAAAACTTGGAGTAATAGTATCTGTCTTCTGGTTGTTGAGAAGATTCAGAGAGATAATGTTCATTAAGCACTTAGCACCAGTCCTAACAGATAGTATATGCTCAATAAATAGAAGCTATTATTATTGTTGTTTTGATGTTTTTGAACACAGATAGACTGAAAACACACTAAATTTCAGATGGAGGCAGATCTCCTACTCACACACAAGGTCAAAGGGCTCATTAGCAGCATACCAGGCCCATTTAATTCTTCACTGAATTGGACACTAGTTACTGTTTTTTTGTGGGACAGGAGGTTTCACACTCAGTACAGGAGGCCCTGTACTGATCCCTCATTTCTGTCTAAACCAAAGTCTCAAACCCTTCTGCTGCATATTGTGTGAAACCCTATATAAACTTCATGGTACGGTATACAAATAGATAAGGAAGCTCAAGGTCATTTTGAAAGTATGGAGAGAACACTTTTGAGGAAGGAGTGAAAAAAACGGGAAGTGAAAGCAGTCGATGCTATGCAGTGTTCTTCACAGGATCTCAGAAATGTGGGTGATCTGGGCATGCGGTTTCTGCGTAGAGCCCTGAACTTCGAGTCATCAGGATGGGGTTCAAATTGTATCAGCACTACTTATGAGTCACATCAACTGGAAAAAGTTACGTATCTTTCAATTTTGGTGTTCTTGACCATAAAATGGGAACATCATGGAGTTTTGGAGAAAATTGAATGAAAAAACAGCTATGCAAGCATGAGACCCAAAAAGAGCTTAATAAGTCTAATTTGGTTTTGAGAGAACTTTGAAAGTGACCATGTAATAATATGCGCTTTGAATATTCAGGCAGCAGCTAATATTGTCACTTGTGTGTGAGTACGTGGACGTGTGTTTCTGTGTTTATAATAATATTGATGCTATAGAGTGTCTACTGTGTCAGGTGACCAAACCGCCTCAGTTTGCCCAGGCCTGAGAGGGTTCGGTGCAGGACTTAACAATTTCAAAACAGGGAAAGTCCCAGGCAAACTGGGACAAGTTGGTCATACTTCTACTATGTGCAAAGTGCTCTGTAAGTGTTACCTCATTAAACCTTCAAAGCAACCCAATGAGGTTGGTATTTACATTGCTGCCATTTTACAGATTGAAAGGACACTTGGAAAGATCAAGCAACTTGCTCAAGCCATACAGCTAATTAATGGGAAGAGCAGGCATTGATGCCAGACCTGTCCAACTCTAGATCCCAGGAACTTAACCACTACGCTACATGCTTTTAGATCTCTCCAAAGGCGTGGTCTCATATTGCCAGTCACTTCTGCGTTCATGGACCATTGCTAAATGCCCTCCCATCTTCCCTTCTGTCACCAGCATTTCCTGTTGCCGAGCTGGACCTCCAGCAAAGGGAGAAACCAGGACATGGAGCCAGGTCAAGCCTGGTCTTGCCTATGGGAAAAGCAAGGGCCCCTCCTTCCCTTAGCAACAGACGCTGAAGCTTAGTTACCAGCCCCAGGGCCTGAGAACAAGCTCCAGCAGTGTTAGAGCAGCCGGGAGGAGGAGGGGGAAGAGTGCGGGCTGCCAGGGTGTTTGGAGAGGTGATTCCTCCCTCTTCTCTATATTAATGTGTAACTTTGCTTCAGTTTTTCTTCTGCAGTGGTGAACTCGGTGTGTTCCTGGAAAAGTCCCAAGAGAGTAGCCACTCAAGGGAAAGGAAGCGTGGCCATCACAGGAGCCCACAAGAAGCTTAGTGCTGACCCCTGTTCTCTAGCTTCCCTTTTTCTCCTCTTCCACCAGGGACTCCTCAGAGCACTAAAGCCTATGACCTCAAAGAGGTGGCCCTGTGAACAAAGCTTTCAGAACGTCTGGAAAGTTCCATTGTTGGTGTCACCCCCATTATGCTGTAAGGAAGTGTAAATTTCAGAGCGTCGCTGCAGAAGCTGAGAGCTTCTTGTTCATTTTCTTAATAGGTACAATTGAAGCCTATGACCTCAAAGAGGTGGCCCTGTGAACAAAGCTTTCAGAACATCTGGAAAGTTCCATTGTTGGTGTCACCCCCATTATGCTGTAAGGAAGTGTGAATTTCAGAGCGTCGCTGCAGAAGCTGAGAGCTTCTTGTTCATTTTCTTAATAGGTACAATTAAAGTGGACGCCATGAGTAAAACGGATTGTGCATCACAGAAGGTAGGTGCGAATTTCAAGGCATGTCTCTTTTTTCACTTGTATTTTCAACATGGGAAGGAGGATGTTCTGATCACAGACCAATCGCGTGTTAGATTCCTTTGACTGAACAAGTGTGTTCACCACATTTTTATGATGTGTGCTTTCAAATATGATTTTTGTGAATTAAACTTTCAGGCATCTTCAAGACCTGCTGTGAGAATTCAAGAATAGACACCTGTTGTTCCTTTTCCTCCCTTCCAAGGCCACTAAAACACATATTTCAGCCAGCAGTTCCCGACTCTGGCTGCACACCAGAATATTCTGGGGAACATCCTAAAAACATGGTCTTATTTCCTGCCCCCAATGATTCTGATCTAGAAGATTTGGGGTGGGGCACAGGAATCTGTATTTTTAACTAAGACCCAAGTGATTCTGGTGTAGCAGGTCCTCTGACGAGCATTCGGAATTGCTTCCATGAAGAATATGCAGACATCATGTGTAATCAGAAATAAGCTGCCTGAAAGTAATGGTTCTACCCTATCTGGATGCCAGAATCTTAGTTGTAAAAGCCAAGACCCATGATGTCACCATACATTGAAGTGCCAGAGGAGCATTTTAAATAGGAACTTTATAAAATCAAAATAGATTTGTTGATAATAATGAGCCCAGGCCCTGAAATGAAATGTCCCTGCAATTTACCAAGTAGAAGACTTAAGCATTAATATTTTTAACAAACCATTTTGCATAGCCAAGTAGTTCATATAAGAATCTCCATCTCCTCCTTTTGAAGGCACCACAGAGAATTCTTATCCAGGTATGGTCAAGAAAACTCTCTTTGCTCTATTCTGGAATTGATCTCTAGATCTGCTGATCTTGTGTGTGTCCTATGTGTTCCCGTTCCATGACTGAGATGTTTTCTGCTGTCACGGTATTTATGACTCTTTTCGTATGTCTTATCTGTGCCCAGGAAGTAGCTCAAAGTTTAATTTGTTTTCATAGTGATTCTGCATGTCTTCATTGTGTTCTGCAAAATGCTCATGGTTTGATTTCTTTATTATCTCAGGAATGGCTTCTGAGCATTCTGTTATTGACTCAGCTGTCCCTGTGTCTATCCCTTGGGTGACCACTTCTCAGTGTGAAAGAACATCAATATAATTTAATCTGTCTCAAACCCAAAAGAATCTATGGGCTCAAGTAACCAAGAGGTCCAAGTTAGATCCAGGAGTTCAGCTGATGTCACTGAGAGTCTGTCTTTCCTTTTCTGGTGGCTCTGCTTTCTTCTATATTGGCCTTATTCTAAGGCAGACTTTCCCCCACATAAGGCAGTTATGGCTGTTGGGAGCTCTAGTCGTAAACATCCTCA